ATCCGCCTTGCTGGAGTGGGAAATGCTGGACTGGAGGGTGCAGGTGCGTGGTGGGAGCTGTGGTGGGGAGGCCAGCAAGGGGGTATCCCTGGGAGTGAGGGCTGTGCCTAGGGCAGCATCTGGGGCTCTGGCTCTCCAGCCACCCTGTGCAGGATACTGGGTGCCCTTCCTGGCTCCACTCACCCTCCTCTTTTTTGTTTTTTTTGTTTGTTGGTTTGTTTTTGAGACAGAGTTTTGCTCTTTGTTGCCCAGGCTGGAGTGCAGTGGCACAATCTCAGCTCACTGCAACTTCTGCCTCCCAGGTTCAAGTGATTCTCCTGCTTCAGTTTCCTGAGTAACTGGGATTACAGGCATGTGCCACCACACCCGGCCAGTTTTGTACTTGTGGTAGAGACAGGGTTTCTCTATGTTGGTCAGGCTGGTCTCAAACTCCCGATCTCAGGTGATCCGCCCACCTCAGCCTCCCAAAGTGCTGGGATTATAGGCATTAGCCACCGTGCCCAGCTGTTTGCTTTTTTTGAGACGGAGTCTTGCTCTGTCGCCCGGGCTGGAGTACAGCGGTGTGATCTCACCTCACTGCAACCTCCATCTCCTGGGTTCAAGGGATTCTCCTGCCTGAGACTCCTGAGTAGCTGGGACTATAGGCGTCTGCTACCACACCCAGCTGGTTTTTATTTTTACTATATATTTTTTTTTTTTTGAGACGGAATCTTGCTCTGTCGCCCAGGTTGGAGTGCAGTGGTACAATATTGGCTCACTATAACCTCCGCTTCCTAGGTTCAAGGGATTCTCCTGCCTCAGCCTCCCAAGTATCTGGGATTATAGGCGCCCACCACCACGCCTGGCTAATTTTTGTATTTTTAGTAGAGACAAGGTTTCGCCATGTTGGCCAGGCTGGTCTTGAACTCCTGACCTCAGGAGTGATCTGCTTGCCTTGGCCTCCCAAAGTGCTGGGATTACAGGTATGAGCCACCGTGCAGCCCACTTTCCCTACTCTTACCTTGCTCTCCTGAAGTGTCTGAGGGGTCTGTGATCCTTCAAATAATCTCCTTTGCCTCTTAAATCACCTGGTGTTTTGTTTCGGTGCTTGTGGCTAAGGTCGCTGGCCAGGATGCTTTCAGAGCCCTGGTGTGTGGAGCTGTAAGATGGCCATATTATATTAATTGATCCCACTCTCAGCATCTCTGCAGAGACCCTTGAAATAAGGCATGTCCAGCCTCAGTGCTAGGGCTTAGCAAATGCAGGGGTGAGGGGCGATGTCTGAGTGTGGGTTTCATTTTACAGAAAAACACTGGAAATACCTGTCAGAAAATATTAACAGTTATGCTGGGCGTGATGGCTCACACCTGTAATCCTAGCACTTTGGAAGCCTGAGGAGTGAGGATGGCTTGAGCCCAGGGATTCGAGACCAGCCTGGAAAACCTAGTGAAACTCCGTCTCTACCAAAAATACAAAAAATTAGCTGGGTGTGGTGGTGCGCGGCTGTAGTTCCAGCTGCTCCGGAGGCTGAGGTGGGATGATGGTTTGAGCCCAGGAGGTGCAGGTTGCAGTGAACTGAGATCGTGCCACTGCACTCTAGCCAGGACGACAAAGCGAGACTCTGTCTAAAAAAAAAAAAAAAAAAAAAAAAAAAAAAAAAATATTAATAGTTATTAGCTCTGGATAAAGAATTGTGGGTGAGTTTAATTTACAAATTTTTATGATTTTGCTTTTCTGTATTTTCGAACTTTCCTACAAGTTGTGACATGTGATTTAAACCGAAAAATAAATAAGTAATGTTTTTCTTCCTGGTGCCTTTCCCTTAACTCTTCTGGCTGGGATGCACCAGGATGGACCAGGCTTCTGGGGAGACAAGGAGGACAAGGAGGCGGGCCCAGGTCTGCCGGGAGATGCTGCTGGATGCTCCCCAGGCTCCCATAAATGCCTCGTAACAGTAAGGCATGGGCTGGGCAGGAAACGCTGACGCAGCAATTCTGCTTATTTAGGGGAGTAGGTGGGGGCAGGGGACAGGCCACACTGCTGCAGAGGGCGGGGGGAGGGGAGGCGTTTCCCCTGACAGCAGAGCCGTTCAGATGAAGCTGGGCTCCCCAGGGTTCCTTGCTCAGCCTGACCTGGCTCTGGGTGCCAAAGGAAGGAGGCAGCTGGAGGCATGGAGGTGGGGGGCAGCTGCGGCCACCCAGCGGGGGCGCGGATGCCTGATGCCTGCCCAGGGCTGCCTGGCTTGGGGGTGAAACACTGGACTCTGGCGTCAGGCAGCCCTGGGTTCAACTCTCGCCTCTGCTTCTTAGAAACTGTAACCCCAGGCAAGTGACTTTGCCTCTCCCAGCCTCCACTTACCCCTCTGTAAAATGGGCATGACAATCCCTTCCTCCGGAGGCAGTGAGTCTCAATCTAGGACGATTTTGCCCCCAATTTGGCAATTACTGGAGGCACTTTGAGTTGCAACAACTGGGGACAGGGAATTTGGCAATTACTGGAGGCACTTTGACTTGCAACAACTGGGAACAGGGCACATCGAAGTGCCACATGGAAGCCAGTGATGGGGCTGCACATCCCACGTGCACAGGGCAGCCCCCCACCCCCTGCCATGGAGAATGACCCAGCCCCCAAGGTCAATGGTGCCAAGGTTGAAAACCTTGCCCTCGGGTGCAGGTGAGGGTTAATGCAGTAATGCAAGCACAGCGCCTGGGGGTGCGGTGATGATGATCCAAGCTGCACAATGGGAGCCTTTTCCTCCTTACCTCCCAGAACCAGATGTCAAAATATGAGCTCTGGGGACAAGGGTGTGCCATTTTCAGAGAGAATGGTCTAGGACTTTTGGCTCCGCCGACCTTGTTTTCTCCTTCTCTTGCTGCCTGGAAGATGTCAGAGTTTTTCCAAATGGCCACTGGCAACATTCCGTCCACCCTCCGGGGAGGTCAGGGCCTGAGTGTGTCCCTGGGGACTGGGACTGCCACTCTGATTTACAATGAGCTCCACATCCCCGGTCCTGGATGCACAGGCCGGTGCCAGAAGAGCTGACACAGAGCGGGCCCAGCTGACAGAGGTCAAGGAGGACAGAGTGGGTGCCCACAGAGGCCCCTGCCTCCCAGACCCCTCATGGGTATTCGGGGACACACTCATGGTGACATAAAGAGGTATGCCCTCTGCACCACGGTGTGGGCCTCTTCACAGCCCCCAGCTGCCCACCTTCTGCACCAGGGGCTTCTACTGCAGCCCTCATGCCAGCCTGGCACTGGTGCCTGACAGAGGGTGACCCACTTGCCTCCAGACAAGAACAGTGCTGGGATGTCATTGACGCTCCAGGGTCCCCAGCCTGGTGGATCGGACCAGGGCTGGCCACTGGGATTGGGCCCTGCTGTCCCTGTCTCAAGTTCTGCCTCTAGTTCTGCTTCTAGGTGATACTTTATCATCTTGATGACTAGGAGGAAGCACCTGCTGTTTACTGACTGTGGCCAGTGCTGCTTTTCTCTGGGGTGAGTTCTGCTCGGCTGCCCTGTGCTCACTGGAAGGCAGGGGCAGTCCTGTTCTGGACAGAGGTGGACTCCTCAGCCTGAGTCATGGACAGTCCTCTTCCTGGTGACTTCAGGGTCACCACAGGGGACTGCGGCCAAGGAAGGGTGGGTTTCAGTCTCTCTGGCCTTAGAGGACTCAGGGGGCCCATATGCCAATCAGGGAGGGTCACAAGAACTTGGAAAGTGTGCATGGAACAGAACACCCAAATTCTAGTGTTTTAATCACATCAACGTTTATTTTTTTTTTCTCACACAGTAAGACACGCAGGTGGTGCGGTGGCTCACACCTGTAATCCCAGCACTTTGGAAGGCCAAGGCCGGAGGATCACTTGAGCCTAGGAGTTCGAGACCAGCCTGGGCAACATAGTGAGACCCCAACTCTATAAAAAATAAGTAGATAAATAAAAGCAGTGCAGAGGTTGCAGCCAGGGCAGGTGTCCCAGGCGCTGCAACTTCCACCCCCAGCTCCACCCTTCACTGTCCTGAGGGTGACACTTTTACGCTCAGTATCTCAAGAAGGCTCCTTCCCCATCCTGCTGACGGAAGAACAGAGGGAGGGATGAGAGAGAAAAAACAGAGCCACAAACTTGGACAACTGAGGCTTTGTGGGGTGTGGAGGAAGGCATGACTTTTAAGGAACTTCCTGGAAGCCCCACCCATCACTCCTGCTTACATCTCACTGCTCAGAGCTGTGTCCCCTGGCCACTCCTATCCACAAGAAGCCCCAGAGAGGTGTTTTATTTTATCTGGGTGCTTTGGGTCCCAGGCAGTGGGGTTCTGTGCATAAGGAAGAAGGTGAGCGTAGAGATGGGTCAGCTGTGGGAGGATCGGGGGCTGGCAGAAGGCACTTCCGGGTCAGCGGGGTGCTGGGGGTGGGAGCTAACAGAGGAGGCCAGGAGGGGCTGGCATGTGGGCTGGGGACGCTGTGAGTCCTATGCAGTGTCCTGTCATACCTCCCCCTCTTTTTCTGTGTTGTACTCTCCTGCTGTCCCCAAGGCCAAGTTTGTTCCACTTGGTCTTAGCTTAGCTTTGGGGACTCAAGGGAAGGACCCAGGTCTAAACCTCGCAGCCGGGAAAGAACAGGTGTGGTGGCAGAAGTCAGTGCTGGGAGCACCTGCAGGTGGAGCAGTGGGAGCAGTTAGCAACCGGGACCGGATCCCCGGCACTGCTCTGAAATAAACTTAGGTGGACAGGAGGCTGGACCGAGGGGGAAGTGTGGCCCCAGGGCTGGAGACACCAAGCAGAGCTGGGAGAGCTGCTGGATCCTCTGAAGCAGAGGTCCCAGGGGATGAACCCTGAATCAAGGAGCTTCCTCTCACCACTCCCAAGCTGCCCGTCCCCTCCAGCACTCCTCAATCTTGAGAAGGTAAGGAGGACACGGAAATGGTGACCCCAATAGGGAAACCGTTTCTTTAAGGCTTTGTTGTGGGTTCCTCACTAAGCCGCAAACCTGCCCAGCGTCCCCAACACAAAGAAAACAGGCCGTGGAGGCAGCAGTGAGCAAACTCTTTACTCCTCGGATTCTCGCCCCTCGGCCCCCGCGGTGACCGGCACTCCCGCCCAGTCCCCCCTACAGGGGACAGTAAATACGAACAAAAATAGTTCTCTACAGAACGAAATGTCCAGGCCCCCCACCCCTTCCTTCTCTCCTCCTCCCCCAGACGGTGAGTTCCTTGGTCACCGGGCCTCCAGTGAGGCCTGGGGTCTGATGGGTTGCAGGAAAAATCAAGAATAGAAAACAGGACCGAGTCAGCGTCTGGAATTGTAGGCAACTGGAGGTCGGGGTCCGCCGCCGCCCGTGAGCCCGGCACAGGCCAGGGGTCGTCGGCCACAGTCCCGTGTGTGCACGTGTGGTGGGAGGCAGGACGGGGTGTGGGGTGAGCAGCGTTTCTCCCGACCCTCTGGCTCCCCGCCAGCGAAAAAAAAAAAAAGAGAAAGACAAAAAAGGAACTGGGCAGCGGATAATACAAAAGAAAAACGAAACCAAATCGCAGGTGCGGGGACCGGAGTTCCTAGGCGCCCCTGCTGCGGGGGGAGGGCAGTGCGGGCGGGAGCGTGGGCCGGGCGGGGGGCCCTGCTGAGTAGCACCTGGGAGCAGCTCGGGCCGCACCCTTCTCGCCGCCCGGCCTTGGACGCCGGCTCCGCCCCGGGACCCCCGGCCCCCGGGTGCAGGGAGCGTCCCCCGGGCGGGGCTCAGCGGCTCAGGCGGGCGGCCAGCCCCAGCAGCAGCAGGCAGCCGAGCAGGGTGGCGGGGCGTGGGGCGGCCCCGGGCGCGCGGTCGCAGTCCAAGCCGCCGTCATCGTCGGCGGGGTCGCAGCGGGGCTGCTCGCAGCGCACGCCGGTGTAGCCGCGCGGGCAGGCGCAGCGCTGGTTCTGCAGGCAGGTGCCTCCGTTCTGGCACAGCAGCTGGTCGTCATCGCACACGTTGGCTGCGGGCGGAGGGGGCGGTCAGCACAGAGCATGGCCCAGTCCCTCCCGCCCCACCTCCGAGCTCCTGCGAAGCGGGGTGTGCGAGCTCCTGGGGGCGCCGTCTGGGCCAGGGGTGTAGGAGGCTCCGGGCGCGCTGGGTGTAAAACGTCCCGCTGCGGGGGTAACGGCGCCCGGGCGAGATCTGGCCCCCGGCTGCCTCCCACCGCGGCCCTTCTCTCCCCGCCCCACTGGCCTCGGTGCGGTTCTTCAGACGCGCCTGCAGTCTCCAGAGCTGTGCACGTGCTGTTCCATGCGCCTGGAGCGCCCTACCACCCTCTGCCCGCGGCTAACGCTGACTCGGACAGCCTCCCTCCCTCTGTCCCCGCAAAACCCTTTTCAACCAACTCCAGCTGCGTCTTTCTCGTAGTTCCCACCACGCACCACCATGCCCAAGATCGCATCAGGCCCCACCCCGAGCTCTTGGACCCGCCCCTCGGCCCGGACCCCGACCCCAACAGCATCCTGTCCACGCCCACCTGCCCGCTCAGTATCGCTAGGCCCCGCCCACCGCCCCCGGCTCTGCCCCATCTCACCAGGCCCCCGCCAACTTCCAGGACCCTGCCTCGTCTCGTGAGGCCCCGCCCACCTCCCCTGCCCCGTCTCGTGAGGCCCCGCCCACCTCCCCTGCCCCGTCTCGTGAGGCCCCGCCCACCTCCCCGGCTCTGTCCTGTCTTGCTAGGCCCCGTCCACCGCCCCGGCCCGGTCTTACTAGGCCCCGCCCACTGCCTCGGTCAAAAAAAAAAAAAAAAACACAGGCTCCGCCCACGGGGGAACGGCGCGCACTCACGGTAGCAGCCCTGGCGCCAGTAGTGCGTGGGGAGGCAGTCATCGCACTTGGGGCCCGCCGCGCCCTCGCGGCACTCGCAGAAGCCGGTCTCGTTGCACCGGTCGTGCACGGAGCCTATCTGGTTGCAAAAAAAAAAAAAAAAAACACGGGCACGTGGTCAGGGCTACCGGTGGGCGCCGTCTGCTCAAAAAAAAAAAAAAAAAGCCTCGCAGCCGGGTCTCCGCACTCCCCAGGGGATGCTCCCCACACTGGGTCCACGTGAGCCCGCGGCTGGACGGCGGGTGGGGACTGCCCGGGGTGTCCAGAAAAAAAAAAAAAAAAAAGGCTTCCTTCCCTGGGATCAAAAATCTCCCAGCCCCGCCTTCCAAAAAAAAAAAAAAAAATGACCCGGGTTAGCCCCTTCCCCTTTCTGGGCAACTAGAGGGGAAAAAAAAAAAAAAAAACTCCAAAGAGCTATGACTCCGACAGATGGCAGAAGCTCAGCGGAGGCCACTGAGCATGTCTGGGGCTGCTGTGCTGTGGGGGTGGCCCTCCTCCACAGCTCCTTTCCAGGGGAGTGGAGGAACAGCCTATTCCTGCTCCCGGGGGGGCCCAGTTGGTTTCCTTAAAAAAAAAAAAAAAAAGAGGGGGCGAATATCCTCCACCCTGAGAAACCTTGCAGCTCAGAAAAAAAAAAAAAAAAAGAGGCAGGGAGAGCCAGGGAGAGGAGGACGGTGCCAGGGTGGGAAAAAAAAAAAAAAAAACCAAAGGCCCTGCCCTGTTCCTGCAGCTGGCCCCCTGTGACGTAAAAAAAAAAAAAAAAATAAGAGTTGATGGAATTATCTGACGGCTGCCGCCATAATTCAAAAAAAAAAAAAAAAAAATGCAGGAGCCCCTCCTCTGCGCAGCCAGAGCCGCCTGCTGGGTAGGGGATGGGCGATGGTGTCCCAAGGGGCCTGGCTGGGCAGGGTTGGGGGACAGCCCCTGGGGCTGAGACCTGGCTTCTACTGACGACGGGGGCAACTATTCCAGGCTGGTGCGTTTTGGAAAAAAAAAAAAAAAAAGGTCTTTGCCCAGGCCCAAGGCCCTGATGAACTTCCTTCTCTAAAAAAAAAAAAAAAAAAGAGTAGAACTTGGAAGAAAGCAGACCGGGTGCCCACCGTGGGTAAAAAAAAAAAAAAAAACTGGACCTCGGCTGGTAAAGCGTTTGAACAAAAGCTTCAGCCAAAAAAAAAAAAAAAAAAACTAATCTGATCTGCCTCCCGATTTGATGAATGAGGAAGCCGAAAAAAAAAAAAAAAAAAGCACCTGCCCAAATGTATGCAGCAAGGCCATCTTTTGGCCCCCAAAAAAAAAAAAAAAAATGTTCCTCCACCCTTCTGGAAAGGAGCTATGGAGGGGGACTGTAAAAAAAAAAAAAAAAACGACACCAGCCCCAGACAGATGCTCAGTGGCCTCTGCCACTGAGTGCCTGCCACCTGCTAGAGTCACAGCTCTTTGGAACCAGGAAGCGTCAGTGTCCCCTCCAAAAAAAAAAAAAAAAAAAGGCCACTGGTAAGTTTTGCAACTCCAGTGCCTGCCGGAGAAAAAAAAAAAAAAAAAAATAATAGAGTAGCTTCTGGAGCTTTCTGTCCTTAGAGATGGAGTAAAAAAAAAAAAAAAAATTCCCACAGCCTCCCCAGGTGATTCTGATGCAGGGGGCCCCAGAAAAAAAAAAAAAAAAAGCAAGTTCCCTGTGCCGTGTCCGCGCCCTCTCACCAATGCAGAAAAAAAAAAAAAAAAAATCTGCCGAGCCGTTGCGGTAGTAGCCCAGCCGGCAGTGCTGGCAGTGCTGACCTCGCGTGTTGTGTTTGCAGCTGACGCAGGTCACCACATTCAGGAAGTCAAAAAAAAAAAAAAAAAAAGAGTGACCGTAGCATTCGCAGTCTGGGGCGGCCAAGTAGGAAAAAAAAAAAAAAAAAAAAATAATTCAGGGAAACTGAGGCACAGGGCAAGGAAGGACTCACCAAAAAAAAAAAAAAAAAGAAGGCATCTTTGGAAAAGATGGTGCCCTAGGCCTCCAACCCTAAAAAAAAAAAAAAAAAGAGACAGGCCTCCCTGCTTTGAGCCCGGCGGAGAACCTGAGTAAAAAAAAAAAAAAAAAACCCACCTGGCCCTGTGGGCAGGGAACCAGGGAGGGCCAGTGGGAAAAAAAAAAAAAAAAATGGCTGGGCACCAGGGCCAAGTGCTCACTGAAGGATGCCCGCGAAAAAAAAAAAAAAAAAAGTGATTCATGCAAGGAGGGCGGGGTCATGCCACCTGGCTGTGCACTGGGGGAGGGCGGCGCCTGGGTTCACCGCGCTCCCTGTGGTGTCCTCGGGTGGATGAAAAAAAAAAAAAAAAAAGGCAAGATGCAGTGGGCCAGGAGCTCCTGCCCATGCTGCTTTGAAAAAAAAAAAAAAAAAAAATGCCCACCTGCTGGACCCTTTCTTATTAGCCTGAGCTTTCAAAAAAAAAAAAAAAAATGCAGGATGCTAAGAGTGAGTGCCACTTTAAAGCAGGTGCCCCAAAAAAAAAAAAAAAAACCCCTGGCCCTGGCCCGGCTTGTGACTCGCTGCTCCTGGAAACAAAAAAAAAAAAAAAAAGGACCACCACCACCATGTCCCGCCACCTCCTGCACCCCACTCCAAAAAAAAAAAAAAAAAGACCCCTGCCTAATCAGCTCCGCTCTGAGGACCAGACAAGCTTGGGGCAAGGCTCTCAGGGACTGGAGGTGAACCCCACAATGTCAGTGGAGGATTTGGTAAGAAAAAAAAAAAAAAAAAAGAATGGGGGGGGGGCATCCCTTGATGTTCCTATGAAGGGACAAAAAAAAAAAAAAAAAACACACCCTCCAGCAAGAAAGCCAATGTGGCTGCCCCTGAACCAAAAAAAAAAAAAAAAAACCTCTTGAAACACCATCTGTGTATCTCTAGAGGACCCAGCTTCAAAAAAAAAAAAAAAAAAGGAGGGACTGACCCAGTGGTCAAGGGCATGGGAGACCCTGGAGAAACAGCCTGTGCCCATGAGAGATGGTGGGCATTCCCACCTGTGGGCCACCTGGATTTGAAAAAAAAAAAAAAAAACTCCAGAGACAATGAGGTGAGGCATCCTCTAAGTGTCCCAAAGAGCAGCATCGGTGACCCGTGTGTCCCAGATTCTGCTTCAGCCAAGATGAGCCCCTGGACCAAAAAAAAAAAAAAAAACAGGACAGGCTATTTCTGGCATCTGCTCTGCCCGCTGTGTGGCCTGCCCACTGTGCCCAAGTTGGCTTCTGACTCACACCTGCTCCCAGCTCCCTTGGGGAGGAAAAAAAAAAAAAAAAAGAGACTCAGTTTAACCTTGGCCCAGCTACTCTGGGAGGGTTTTAAAAAAAAAAAAAAAAACCTCTGTCCTGCACCGTCTTGTCCTGCACCGTCTTTTTCCAGTAAAAAAAAAAAAAAAAATGGCGGGGAGGGCTGATGGGGCCCCAGGCCCATCCTCTTACCTAAAAAAAAAAAAAAAAACATCACTTGAGGAGATTTAGGCTTGAGCTGGAAAAGTTTGTAGCCCTTGGCAGGGGCAGGGGCAGCAGCAGGGGTGCCCACAGCTTGGAGAGATGAGAAACAGAAAAAAAAAAAAAAAAAGGTCCTGCTGCCCAGGGAAGAGCCCAGCAAAGGCTTCCAAGCGGCCCTGGGCCAGCTCTAGGGCAGGCAGCCTTGTCGCCTGCTCAGAAGTGAGGGAGGGAGAAAAAAAAAAAAAAAAAAATCACACAGCCCCTCTCCTCGAAGAGCCTAGGGAAATGGGGCCAAAAAAAAAAAAAAAAACAGCACATCCCGAGCTCGCAAATCAGCCCTGCCCTTGGTCCCCAAAAAAAAAAAAAAAAAACATCTGGCTGGATTACTCCCCCAAATGACTTCTGTAACCCCTGACACCCCCCGCGCCCTGCTAAGGCCTTCTTGGAAGCCGAACGGCTTTTAGACGGATTGAAAAAAAAAAAAAAAAAAGTCTCTTGCTCTCCCCACCTCCTCTTCAAACTTCCGGGAGCATAAAAAAAAAAAAAAAAACCTGGCATTTAAGGACTTTGGCATCTCCCTTCCTTTCTGAAACAAAAAAAAAAAAAAAAACAAAGTGAATCCTTCGCTGTCCCTGGAGTCCCACTCGCAAGTGCTGTCAAGCCAGGAACAGCGACGCCCTGCCCAGCATCCCACCGGGGCCGCAGCGCCCTATAAAAAAAAAAAAAAAAAACTGTCCCGGAAGTGTCACTGCCTTGGCTTCCCCATGGGGGTCAAAAAAAAAAAAAAAAACCCAGGGCAGGGAAGTGATGGCTCCCGTCAGCTTTGTCTCGATCACCAGAGAGGACACCAGACCCAGGTCCTCTGGGTTTCTAGGAACCAACCATCCGACCCTAAAAAAAAAAAAAAAAAGCGCCAGAGCTTCCTGCCAGTAGAGGGCGCTCAAAGCTCGGCTCGCTGCTCAGAGCTGGGGCTGGAGGGAATTTGAACACGTGAGCTGGAGGAACAGCTCACCAAAAAAAAAAAAAAAAAGCCCTAATTCCCAGCCCAGGCTTGGTGAACTGGGGCCAGGGACCATTTCCCTTCTGGAGAGTCAGGCAGGCCTGCGCGTTTCCTTGGCGTGTCTGTCTACGGCAAAAAAAAAAAAAAAAAGTCTCCTCCCATGTAACAGGAGGATGTCAGTGTCTTCCAGGATAAAAAAAAAAAAAAAAAAACCCACACATTTTCCACTTTGTCAGGCTCCCTGCCATCCCACAAAAAAAAAAAAAAAAAGGCTGGTCCTGCGGCCTGGAATATGCCACCTTCTTCCTTCACCAAAAAAAAAAAAAAAAATGAGGTCTCATGGCCCCCGCTCCTGCAGGGAGCCCCCTCTGACTCTCTCTGTGATCCAGCAACTGCTCTGGTGTCCTGTGAGCAAGAGGGAGCTGGAAAGGGGGGTTCCTGTCATGGGAGGCAGGACCTACACTCGACTCCGAAGCCCTCGGATGGAGTGCTGGTGGAAGAGCTTGGCGTGGCGGTGCCACATGGAACTTCTCTAAGCAGGTGAAGTTTGGGGAAAAAAAAAAAAAAAAAGCTCTACCAGGCCGCTCCCTCACCACCATGCCCTAGAGCTTCCAAAAAAAAAAAAAAAAACACCCGTGCCCTCAGTTGGTTGCTGCGCCACCACCCCCCCGCCAAAAAAAAAAAAAAAAAACGCACCCCTGCTACTTCCACTACAGGGGGAGGGGCCTATGAGAAAAAAAAAAAAAAAAACCGGGGTCTCAGGCCCATCACAGGCCTTGCCCCCATACCTTCTGCACGGGCGGCCACCTGGGACCACCTGCTTGAGAGAGGGGCAGCCGTAGATGGCCTGGTCAAAAAAAAAAAAAAAAAAGAGAAGAAACCAAGTTATGTGAGGGGGTGGTGCTGAGGGAAGCTGGGCACTTACTGAGGCACCACAGCCCCGCACCCCACAGGCCCCTTAAAGCAGCAGCACAAAAAAAAAAAAAAAAATCTACACTGGCCAAAGGAACTGGGTCTGAATCTACTACAGAGGAAAAAAAAAAAAAAAAACAGTCTGTGAACGGCACATACAGACTTCAAGCCAGATAGATGGAAAAAAAAAAAAAAAAAGAGAATCTGCATATGCTTCAGCGAGACCCTTCTACACTCCCTGAAAAAAAAAAAAAAAAACTGAAGGACAGAGCTAGACCAGGTCCCGTCTCTGGGCCCAGACCTCTCTGAGCTGATGTCTCTAATGGCTGCAAAGTGGGGCACGTGTCCCGGCCAAGATCTTAAAAAAAAAAAAAAAAATTCTGGAAGGCCTCCTTCCTGTCCAGCCCCAATCCAGGGACCGAAAAAAAAAAAAAAAAATGACTTGCTTCCCTCATCACCGCCCTTCTACCTTCCTGACCCCTGTCCTGGGCCCATTTTCACCAGGGACCCCAGCATGAATCAGCCCCCAAATGCCACAGTGAAAAAAAAAAAAAAAAACAGGACCCCCAGCCAGGAAGGCAGGCAGGGCTGGCAAAGAACTGTCCTGTGCCCAAATTTCCAAGGACAAACCCAGGGGGACAGGGGAGGGCTGCTGTTTTCTAAAAAAAAAAAAAAAAATACACAAGGGTGGCTGCGGGGAAAGAAAAGGAAAAGCTACCAGAAAAAAAAAAAAAAAAACTTCCCAGCTGGGAGCCGAGAGCTCTGGACATCAATTGACTTTAATACGATGTTCAGTGGGAAGATGAGGCCGCCAGGCCCAAATTGGCAAGGGCTTAATTAGAAAAAAAAAAAAAAAAACCCTGAAGGCATTTGCTTCGGAGTCTGTCTCCCTCCACCCTCCAAAAAAAAAAAAAAAAAAGGATTAGCGTCTCCAGCGGCGTTTTCCGCCCCCAGCGCTGTCCTCCAGACAGCTTGACATTGGCAGGCGGGAGAAACATCTGGCCCAGGAGTTCAGAGGCCCAGCTGGACTCTGGTCAAAGAGCCCAAAGCACCTGTTGAGAGGCGTCCGGGGATATTCAGGAAAAAAAAAAAAAAAAAGTCTTGGGGAGGGAGAGAGTCCTGGCTGGGCTGCCCAGGGACAAAAAAAAAAAAAAAAAAAAGCAAGTTCTCGCCAAGGCCTGTGTGCTGTGCCAAGGCCCCATGGAAGCCTGGTCTGCTCCTTTGGAACTGGGAAGCCCTGCAAGCCAGGCCTTAAAGATAGAAAAAAAAAAAAAAAAACAGTGGCTCACGCCTGGAATCCCAGCACTTTGGGAGGCTGAGGAAAAAAAAAAAAAAAAAGTCACGAGTTCGATACCAGCCTGACCAGCATGGTGAAACCCCGTCTCTACTAAAAAGACAACAATTAGCTGAACCCGGTGACGGGTGCCTATAATCCCAGTTAAAAAAAAAAAAAAAAAAGGAGAATTGCTTGAACCCGGGAGGCGGAGGTTGTGGTGAGCTGAAAAAAAAAAAAAAAAATCCAGCCTCGGCGACAAGAGCAAAGCTCCATCTCAAAAAAAATAAAAAAAAAAAAAAAAAATAAATAAATAAAGATAGCACAACCTCATAGCCCCTGGAGGCCAAAAAAAAAAAAAAAAAGGTGGCTGAGTTGGCGCACCCTGAGTTCAAATCCTGCCTGTGCAAAAAAAAAAAAAAAAAACATCGGGCAGCTGCCTCTTTTTCTTTTTTCTTCTTTCTTCTGAAAAAAAAAAAAAAAAATATAATTTACATATCATAAAATCCAGCTGCATCTTCCTAAGCCTCGATTCCCCTCACCTGTGGGACTAGGAAAATAACAGCCTCCATCTCACAGAGCTGTGACAAAAAAAAAAAAAAAAACGATGATAGGAGCACAGCCTTTAGCCCGGGAGAACTCACCCTCAAAAAAAAAAAAAAAAATTTTTATTAATAGGGGCTCTGGACAGGGGCTTCGGTTGCTGAAAAAAAAAAAAAAAAAAATAGATGTGGGCTGTGGGGGCCACTGACTGTCACATTGGAGGCACCTCCTCCCCTAATGTCCCGCTTCTTGACACAGGGCTGAGGGTGCAGAGCAACACTGTCTAAAAAAAAAAAAAAAAATGCCTTCTGCTCCCCGAGGGGATCCTGGAGATCCTTGCCTCCCAAAAAAAAAAAAAAAAAGCCTCTGACTTTTCCTCTTTAATTCCCAACTTTGCACAATCTGAAAAAAAAAAAAAAAAAGCCCTGGCACCAAGTCAGAAGCAGCTCCGCAAATGGATTCAAGAAAAAAAAAAAAAAAAATGTGTGTGTTTGTGTACGTGTGTGTGCATGCGTGTGTGTACGTAAAAAAAAAAAAAAAAATGTACGTGTGTGTGTATGCATGTGTGTGTGTACGTGTGTGCATAAAAAAAAAAAAAAAAATGTGCATGCGTGTGTGTGTGTACGTGTGTATGCATGCATGTGTAAAAAAAAAAAAAAAAATGTGTGTGTGCGTGGGTACACTTGCACATGTGATATGGAGAGTAAAAAAAAAAAAAAAAAGACCACTGTTTGGAGGCAGGCACAGCACCCACCACCACTGTTTAAAAAAAAAAAAAAAAACCACAGGCTCAGTAGCCAAGCACAGCTCCCCTGTGGCTGGGCCAACCTATGTCTGAAGTCCAGAATTCTCAGAGTGACCCACGCCCTCCACCCCAAGGAGGATAAAAAAAAAAAAAAAAATCCCTGAAATCCTCCAATATTTTGGCTACCCCTGCCTCCTGTAAAAAAAAAAAAAAAAAAGGGAAGGATGTAGAGAGAAGTGGGATGTGCTGCCCCCAGGGGAAAAAAAAAAAAAAAAAAAGGAAGGAGGAGGTCTTTCTCTCAGCATTTGCCCCCGCCTGGGAAAAAAAAAAAAAAAAACAGCAACAGGCCAAGGCAGGAGCTGACGGAGGGGACTCTGCCCAAAAAAAAAAAAAAAAATCCAGGGGAAAGGAGCAGTGGGGCAGGTCCTCTTGGATCAGAGAAAAAAAAAAAAAAAAAACTACCCAAGGGGTCAGGAGTCTCCACCAGGTCCTCCCTGCAGAAAAAAAAAAAAAAAAATATGGCAGGTTATTGGGGCACCCCTCCCCGGCTGGGACCAGGAAAAAAAAAAAAAAAAAATTGTCTTCCTGGAGCCCTCTGGGAAGGAAAAATCCTTTCTGACAAAAAAAAAAAAAAAAACGCCGAGTCCAGGGACCCTCCCAAAGTGAGTCCAGGTGAGAGCAAAAAAAAAAAAAAAAAGCCCCAGCCTTGAATGTATGCGAATCCCTCCTTCGGAGGGGAGAAAAAAAAAAAAAAAAATGCTTGTCTGTGGCAGACCCCTGAGGGGGCAGGACGTCTGGCCCTGGCCTGGCCTTGCGCTACATACGCAGTCCCCACATTCCCAGCAGCCAAACCCAACTCCAGAGGCTCCCTCTGGCCTGCTGATCAGAGACATTTGCTTTCTGGGCTAACCCTGCTCCATAAAAAAAAAAAAAAAAATGCTGAGGGGTTAAGGACAGAGAGGCCCTGGGGGCCAAGTAGGAAAAAAAAAAAAAAAAACTCCAGCAACCGTGGAGGCAGAAGCACCACTGGGAGACAAGGCAAAAAAAAAAAAAAAAATCAGGATGGCCTTGCTGCCCCCAGCACCTTTCCTCCCAGTTCCAAAAAAAAAAAAAAAAAACTGGTCTGGGAGACCTTCTAAGCAATGGCTTGAAGGGCAGGAAAAAAAAAAAAAAAAAAGCTGAACTGACCATTGAATCCCCTGGTTGGGCTCAGGAACGGGTTGACCCAGGTGACCTGGAAGCCCCTTTGGCCTGTGGCCTCCCCGCTCTAGGGTTGCAGCAAAAAAAAAAAAAAAAACAAGCCCCTGCTCTCCCGCACAGGGCTGCCGACCCTCCCACCCAAAAAAAAAAAAAAAAACAGGCTAGAAGCAGGAGAGGGTGGGATGGCAGGGGTCACTGTAAAAAAAAAAAAAAAAAAGGGCTGTGGGGTGCTGGGAGCCGTGGGGGCCCAGGCAGTGGACAAAAAAAAAAAAAAAAAAGTGGGGGCCCTTGTCATGGCTGTGGTGGCCGCAGTGGCCACAAAAAAAAAAAAAAAAAAGTCTTTCTGGGACCTGCTGATGCCTGGTGAGAGATGGGAAAATAAAAAAAAAAAAAAAAAGTTGCTGAGGTGGGGACACTACAGAGAAGTAACTTACGACGGCTGTGCAGGCCAGCGTCCCTGGCGCCCTCTCGGCCCATTGGCTTCCCAGCCAGGGGCCCTCTGGGTCTTGGAGGGACAATGTGGGTGGGATGTGGGGCCCCACGGAGCCCTGGCGGAGGCTAAAAAAAAAAAAAAAAAGCATTTCTGAGATTTGGGGTCTGCTCCTGGCTGGCTCTTTGACAAAAAAAAAAAAAAAAATGCTGCCTCTCGGAGCAGATGGCGACCTCCCGGGGGAGGGGTTAAAAAAAAAAAAAAAAAAGACTGTGCCTGGCGCCCTGTGAGTGTTTGGGGACAGTCTCGAAAAAAAAAAAAAAAAAACTGCAGGCACCATGTCGCCCTCACCCTCCTGGGGAACACTCAGAAAAAAAAAAAAAAAAAGATGCCCCTCCTTGGTCCGACTCCCCTGGGACCTGAGCTGACCAAAAAAAAAAAAAAAAAGGGCCAAGCTGGCTACAGAGGCTGCTCAGAGGGAGGCTGCCCCAAAAAAAAAAAAAAAAAGTGGATTCTGCCCCTGGTGGGGGAAGGTCACGCCACTCTTGCCAAAAAAAAAAAAAAAAACTCCCAGATCGAGGTGAGAGAAGAGGCCCGGGCGGCAGGAGGAGCAGGGAGCCCACCCGGGGCCAAGGGACCTGCAAAAGGTCCTGTCCCGTTTTCCAAAGCAAAAAAAAAAAAAAAAAAGGGAGAGCCTGAGACTTGCTGGACAGCAGGCCACAGCAAAATGAAAAAAAAAAAAAAAAATATGATGTGGAGGGGGGAGAGGTGGAGAAGCAGATGGGGTGTAAAAAAAAAAAAAAAAAAATAGGCCCAAGTCCCAGAGGGGACACTGAAGCCCCTTTTTTCTAAAAAAAAAAAAAAAAAACATGCAAAGAGGGGCCCTGGCCGCCCTCCCTGGGCGTGTACTAAAAAAAAAAAAAAAAAGCAGCAGCACCTGCGGGAGAGAGAGGGGCGTAAGCTGGCTGCTAAAAAAAAAAAAAAAAAGCTGTCGCCTCCCTGCAGAGGGGCCAGCAGGGCAGGGGAGGGCAAAAAAAAAAAAAAAAATCAAGAGCACCTGCTGCACCACACAGCTGCTAGCAATGATGACAAAAAAAAAAAAAAAAACGGGGTGGATTATCCAGTTCCATCCTCACTGCAGCCCTGGGAGAAAAAAAAAAAAAAAAACCCATTTTGCAGATGGAGACACTGAATCTCAGAGCGGTGACTTAAAAAAAAAAAAAAAAAGACAGGTGCCAAACGCTCCACTGGGAGCTTCATACACACTCCTAAAAAAAAAAAAAAAAACCTCCAGTGCAGGACAAGGACATTGTATGGAGTGTTCCTGTCTAAAAAAAAAAAAAAAAATGGAAAACTCGCTGAGAAACCACGGGAACGGCCGTCGCGGGTGGTGTGCGTCCCACGTGCCAGGCACGGTGTCAGCATCTCCTACATGAACCGTGCCATCCTCAAAAAAAAAAAAAAAAAGAGTTTCCTTACGGTCCTGATTCTACAGCTGAGGACACGTGGCAAAAAAAAAAAAAAAAATGGGAGTGGGCGAGGCCTGACTCGAATCTGGGTATCTCTGTGTGTCCAGGGGATGGGGGAGGCCTATGATCCTGGTGTGACCAGGGGCCTCGAAATCCTGGGGAAAAAAAAAAAAAAAAAGCAAAAGGAAGGAGCTGGTGCCACAGCTTTCTCCACAGTGTTCAAAAAAAAAAAAAAAAAGGGATCAGCAGTGGGACGTGTGGCTCATGGACTTCTCCTGGGCAAAAAAAAAAAAAAAAATCCCCACCCACTCCTTCCTCCACCTCCGTGTCTGGGCAGGCACCTGCTAGACCCTGAGGACACCTCAGGGTGCAGCCACAGTAAGCACCACCAGGACTGGGTGAAAAAAAAAAAAAAAAACGTGGGGACAGGCGGGACATCAGGCAGGGCACAGGGAGGTCCTAAAAAAAAAAAAAAAAACCCTGGAGGGTGATGATGGGCTGGCCAGGTGGGGGCAGAGGGGTAAGGAGGTGGGAAGACATTGGGAGTGAGGGCTGCTGCAGGGCTGAGGGTGGCATTGGGAAAAAAAAAAAAAAAAAAAGGGAAGTTGGAAGAACGTGGGGGGAGGAGGGTCTCCAGTCAAAAAAAAAAAAAAAAAAACAGCTTGGCCCCGTGTGTGTCGGTGCCACTTACTGAGGAGGGGAAAAAAAAAAAAAAAAATGAGGGCAAAATTAGCCTCTGTGTCTCCTTGGGCTGTTTCCTGTTGGTGCCCCAGAGAAGGCAGGAGACCCAGGTGCTGAGGACAGCAGCGCCTGCAAATATCAAAAAAAAAAAAAAAAACCTGGGGCTTGGGGGCCTCAAAGGCAATTCCCAGGGACTCCCAGGGAAGCAGGAGGTGGGGCCAGCTCCAGGAGTCTCCCCTAAATAAGGAAGCACCAGCTGCACAGCCCTTACAGGCCTGTCTGTCCATCACTGGCTAGACCGGTGGTGGTGAGTGGTGGTGAGGGTGGGGACAGTGGATCCTCCTAGGTGTGACCTGCAGCTAAGTGTCTCAGGTGGCCAGAGACGGGCAGAGGGAGGCCTTGCAGAACCTCCAGATGCAGGAGGCAAGTGGAAGAAGAAAAAAAAAAAAAAAAAAAAGACATGGTGGCTCATGCCTGTAATCCCAGCACTTTGGGAGACTAAAAAAAAAAAAAAAAAAGAGCTCAGGATCTCGAGACCAGCCTGGGCAACATGGCAAAACAAAAAAAAAAAAAAAAACACAAAAATTACCCGGGCCTGGTGGCATGCACCTGTGGTCCCAAAAAAAAAAAAAAAAAAAGTGGAGGATCGCTTAAGCCCAGGAGGTTGAGGTTACAGTGAGAAAAAAAAAAAAAAAAACACTCCAGCCTGGGCGACAGAGTGAGAAACCCATCTCTAAGAAAAAAAAAAAAAAAAAAAGGCCGGGCGCGGTGGCTCAAGCCTGTAATCCCAGCACTTGAGGAGGGCCGAGACGGTGGATCACGAGGTCAGGAGATCGAGACATCCTGGCTAACACGGTGAAACCCCCGTCTCCTACTAAAAAATACAAAAAACTAGCCGGGCGAGGTGGCGGGCGCCTGCTTATCCCAGCTACCGGGAGGGCTGAGGCAGGAGAATGGCGTGACCCGGGAGGAGGAGCTGCAGTGAGCTGAGATCCGCCACTGCACTCCAGCCTGGGCGACAGAGCGAGACTCCGTCTCAAAAAAAAAAAAAAAAAAAAAGAAAAAAAAAAAAAAACGAAGAGAGGCAACGGAGGCGCGCGTGATTGATGGAGAGAACGGAGGCAGAGAGGAGGGAAGGGAGAGAGGCCCTCAGGATAGACAAAGGGGAAGCCAATCTGTGAGTCAGGGAGAGAGTGATGGCCACTACAGAGAGACCTCAGGAAAGGGTTTGGACCACAAAGAGATGGGGACGGCAAGCTGGGAGGAGGCAGTGGCTGGAGTGGGCTGTCAGCCCCCCAGAGCGCTCTTTGTGCCTTTGAAGACCCGAGAGTGCTGTTTGGTGCCTGCCAAGTCACCCCTTCAAAGGCCTGTCTCACCGCCTGCTGCAGCACACCCGTGACACGCCTGTCATGGCCTCTGCACATGGCTCTCAGCTTTGATCAGCCTAAAGTCACATAAATCTTCCACCCGTCGAGGGAGGATGTCCAGATGGAGTGCAGGAGCCCACTGTCCAGGCCTGGTGTGGGCATCAGATCCAGTAGCTGCCCTAAGCCCTGGCATTGGCACGCAACTCACTGTGAAACCTGGGAGGACCCCGAGGTTCGCTGGGCCTCAGTCTGCTCATCTGGACAATGGAGCATAATAAGGACTGCGCCCTATGGGGCTGTGTGAGGTGGAAGCGAGATACACAAAGTGCCCAGGAGGGCCTTGGGCACCAACCACGCACTTGAGAACGGCCAGCATCTGTAAAGTGGCAATGGTGGGGGTCAGGGAGAGCCCACCCCAGGGGCAGTCTGTGGCCTTCTCCACTTGCAGCCCAGGGGCTTCCTGAGTGGGGGTCCTCCGAAGGGGGACTATGATGCAGATGCGAGTGGGCAGACCCTGAGGATGGCTCCCTGGCATGGCTGGGCGAGGACAGGAGAGGGGTGGGCAGAGAGCACGTGCGGGGGACTCTGGTGCAGGCCACAGAGGACACATCTGTAAAATGGGATGACAGGAGCTCAGCTCCCAGGGGTTGCTCTGAGGATGGAGGAAGTGCTGAACACGCAGCACTTGGCTTTTGTGGCTTGCTCCAAACACCCCAGAGATGCTCATGATCAGGGATGATGCTACTGATCCCCTCACCTGAAGTGGGGGTCCCACCTCATCACTCCCTGCCATCCCACGGGGGCCTCCTGCCAGGTGTCAGGGTTAAGAAGGGGAAGGGCTACAGAAATGCTGCTCATCTCGGGTTTCCCTGCGGACCAGGGCTGGAAGGGCAGCTTAGCGTTCGGCAGGATGCAGGTATGCTAGAGGGACCTGTTACAAGACCTGGTGCTTGGGAGCTGTAGAACAAAGTGTGTGTGTCGGGGGCATGCATGCATGTGTGTGTCTGTGCATGCATATGTTTGTGCATTTATATGTATGCCCATGCCTGTGCATGCAGGCTCATATGTTTCTGCGTGCACATGTGCATGCAGGTGCACACGTATGTGGCTGTGTGCAGGTATGTGTGTGCATGTGTATGATCCACAGCTCCTGGGATGGATGGGCGGGGAAGACTACAGTCATGCAGGCTTGGGGCCCTGGGGAGTGGCACGTACAGGCATTGGGAGAGCCATGGGGCAGCGGCAGGTAGGAGCCGGCCCGCCAGGACCGGGTGCGGAAATTCTTCTTGCACTTGCCGCAGTCGGGGCCGGTGGTGTTGTGCTCGCACTCGCACTGCAGGCTGCCCTCTCGCATGGAGCACAGGTTGGCATGCAGGTTGCACTTGCACCTGGGGACACACCGAGAGGGCAGAGATGTCAGAGAGCTTATGGGCAGCCTGGCCTGGCCTCCAGGGAAAGGAGAGCCTCCCAGGAGGGGCCCAGGAAGAAACCCTGGAGGCCACCAGCCTAACCTTTAGGCCAGAAACTCCTTGATTCCCCTTCCTGCGGAGAGATCAACGCCGCGTTCCGAAGGCCACCGCTGCACTCACTCACTGCGCGGCTCTCCTCTCCGCTCCGATGCTGGTTTCAAGGATTCCTCACATCTCAGTCGGGGAGAGTGATGGTACTCCCTTGTCCCTGATGCTAGATTCTTAATAATGCAGCTTCTGATCACCTAGCTTTTGACTGAGGTGGGTTGATGGGTGGCAGAGGCAGCTGCCAGCCCCTGGTGGAGACAGGGACCTGGCCACGGGCTGCACCTCACTGTGTAGAAAGGCACCTGGCTTCGGGCTGGACCTCTGCTGTCAGCTTGTGGTCCACGGCCACAGCCTTGAGGATGAGAGAACCCCCAACTCCCACACCCCCATCAGTTCATTCACACATGTATTATTCATCCATTCATTCAAATATTTATAGGCGACTCATTATTCTGAAAACTGGTAAATAAAGGGAAAGAATCAAGCATTTATCCTGCCTGTCCTATATAAACTGTACCTCGGGGTAACCGAAAGTTGATGAGGGGAAGCTTCTTTTTCGTAGAAGCATTTCACAGGAGAATTTGCAGTCCCTGATGAATGAATGGCTCCAGGCACTGAGCCGCACCAGCCCAGAATTTCCCACTGAGAGGCCAGCAGACAGTGAGCGTCTCTAGAAGAACACACCCTCACCCGAAGCCAAAGCAATTGAACCTGAATCAGATCAAGCCTCCAGACCGAGCTGTGAGCACATAAGAAAGGCAGAGGACAGAGCACCACCCTGAACGACACCAGGGGACGCCATCTGCAAGATCTGGACTGGAGGAATCTCCGGCAGTAATCATCCACTTTTTCCAAGGGACGAGTTGACTGGAGAAAAAAGTGATATGGAAAAAGGATGGACCTAGAGCAGGAGAAACCTCAAAAGTATACCAATTAATGGCAGACGCGAAGCTCCTCTGGCCCTTGGTTCCAACATCCTGTAAAATCAAACACGCAAACAAATGGAACGTATATATATGAGATAACTGGAAATTTGGACATTGCCTATATTAGATGATATTAAATTGATGTTTACTAGGTGTGATGATAATATCGTGGTTATGTTTTTTAAAGTCCTTATCTTTTAGAGAACCACACAGGCCAGGCATGGTGGTGCGTACCTATAATCCCAGCACTTTAGGAGGCTGAGGCAGGAGGATAGATTGAGCCCAGGAATTTGAGGCCAGCCTGTGTAACATAGTGAGATCCTGTTTCTACAAAAAATAAAAAAATTAGCCAGTGTGGTGGCGCATGCCTGCAGTCCTAGCTACTGAAGAGGCTAGGGTGGGAGTATCCCTTGAGCCCATGAGTTCGAGGCTTCAGTGAGCCATGTTTGCATCACTGCACTCCAGCCTGGGAGACAGAGCAAGACTCTGACTCCAGAAAAAAAAAAAAGAAAAAAAAAAGGGCCGGGCGTGGTGGCTTACACCTGTAATCCCAGCACTTTGGGAGGCCAAGGCAGGCAGATCACCTGAGGTCAGGAGTTCAAGACCAGTCTGTCCAACATGGTGAAACCCCATCTCACTAAAAATACAAAATTAACCAAGTGTAGTGGTACATCTAGTAATCCCAGCTACTTGGGAGGCTGAGGCAGGAGAATCGCTTGAACCCAGGAGACAGAGGTTGCAGTGAGCCATTGCACCACTGCACTCTAGCCTGGAGACAGAGTGAGACTCCATCTCAAAAAAAAAAAAAGAAAAAAGAAAAAAAAAAAAAAAGAAAAGAGAGAGCTACACATAGAAATATTTACAGATGAAACTATCTGATGGGCAGAGGTACAGATGAAACAGGAAGGTTCACTAGTTGATAACTGCAGTCGAGAGGTACACAGAGGTTTGTCATAGCAGATTCTGTCTTCTTTTGTGTTGGAAATTCTCCATAACAGAAAGTGAAAGAGAGAGAGTGTGTGCTCTATATTCTGAGATGGGAAGATTTCCAAGATATATTGTCAATATTTGGAAAAAGCAAATTGCAGAACAATGGGTTTAGTAGAATCCTATTTTTATTAAAAGATGCAAAGAAAAATATTTATCAGGCACCTGTTATGTGGCAGGGGCTCTGAGCTGGGAACAGTGAGTATAATGTCAACAAAGCAGATGGTTCCCTGCCCTAATGGTGCTTTGGGTCTAGCTGGGAGACCATGAACAAAATCAGTGATTGGAGGGGACAGGGAGGGAGGATAAATAGGTGGCAGACAGGGATTTTTTGGGTGGTGAAACCATTGTTTATGATGCCACAATGGTAGATACCTGGCATTACGCATATGGCAAAACCCACAGAAGTGTCCAACACAGAGTGAGTCCTGATGTAAACAACAGGCTCTAGTGAACGCTACTGTATCCGTGTTAGCTCATCATTGTAACACATACACTCCACAATAGGGGAAACTGTGCAGGGGTGGTGGGGAAATGGGAACTTTCTGTACTATCTGCTCAATTTTCTGTAAACTTAAAACTGCTCTAAAAATAAAGTCTATTAATTATAAAAGTAAGAATCACACACCTCTTCAAGTGTTCATTTCAACCGTTAAAAGAGCCCGTGTGTTGTGCAAAGAAGGCACTAAGGGAGTCCAGGATTTTCCGGAAGAACAGTTTTAAACTAAGACCTGAAGGAGGATCAAGAGTTGCTGGGCCAGAAGGGGAGAACCTTCTAGAAAGAGGCAAGAGCATGAGGAAAGCTCTGGGGTTGAAAGGAGTTCCACCCGGGAGGTCTGCAATGAGGCTGGGGGGTGGAGGAGGCCAGACCAGGAGACGGAGGTGGGATTTTACTCTGCAAGTCTTTGACAGGTTAAGCGTGTCCTGCTCTGGGCCGTATTTTATATTGCTGTGGCCGCTTCATGGAGACTGGTTTGTCTGGGAGACAAAAGCCTGGGCAGGGAGACACCAGTGAGACCCTGTGAATAGAGGCCTGGACCAGGGCAGGGCACCTGGTCCCACCCGTCGTGCCTGGGGTGTGGGGCATCTTTTTGTTTTTTGAGACAGAGTCTCACTCTGTCACCCAGGCTGGAGTGCCATGGCACAATCTTGGCTCAGTGCAACTTCCGTTTCCCCCTGACTGGCGCTCGTCCATTCAGAGATTGTCTTGAGGATGTGTAACTGGCATTTTCTTCTCTCTTCATGCTCCCCTTCCACTGCGCTGGGTGAGGATTTTTGTTTTCTCACCTCACACTCCCCAAATCCTCCTGGACACCACAGGCTGCGAATCTCCCTCCTCGCGTCCGGCCTCCCTCATATATCAGTCCCGCCAGGCGCTTCATCTGAGCCCTCCTCCCTCGGCTCTGCCCCGCCTCTGTCCCCATCTGACTGGGAATGAAGGGTCCTCTGGGGGGCGCCTTCCAGAGCAAGGATCTGGGTGGGGAAACAGTGGCCCCTGCATCCACCAGCCCTGGGGCTCCCAGGTAACCCCCATCTGCCAGTTTTGGTCACCAGGGCTGCCTTCTTCCTTAGGGGCGTCTCTCTGTCCTCGAATTATCCTGCAGAATAGTTAGGGAAATTATGGTACATCCAGGCGATGGAATCCTTCTGTTTTCTGAGACAGGGTCTCACTCTGTCACCCAGGTTGGAGTGCCGTGGCACAATCTTGGCTCACTGCAACTTCTGCCTCCTGGGCTCAAGCGATCCTCCCTCCTCAGCCTCCCGAGTAGCTGGGGCCACAGTCTCGTGCCACCATGCCCGGCTAATTTTATTTTTACTTTTTGTGGAGATGGGGCTCCCTGTGTTGCCCAGGCTGGTCTCAAACTCCTGGGTTCAAGCAATCTGCCCACCTCAGCCTCCCAAAATGCTGGGATTACAGGTGTGAGCCACCGTGCCTGGCCTAAAGTCCATGTCCTAGAAATGTTATTTAGAAGCATGAGGTCAGGCGAGGGTGGAGAAGGTGGTGGGTTTCTGAGCTCACGCCTTTCCTCCCAGGAGAAGGAGAGAATCCTGCAGCCCCTGGACGGGCCGTGGGAGAGGGGGTACTCGGGAACCCACCGCTTTAGGTTACACGTGTCCACTGTGCTGCGATGCTCAGTTCCTAGGACGAAGGACGTCTCTGGAATTCTCTGGAACAGAATTCCAAGGCAGAGCAAGAGCCCTGGCCAGCAGTGCTAACCACCACTGAAGTCTGTGTTATTTTAACTCCATCTTCCCCTGAGAGCCTGGACACTAACCCTGCCGAGGTTTTACTGCAACACTGAGCTGAAATAAATAGAGCATTAAAAAGCCTCTTCACTCTTTCCCTGGCATTCCCGTCTCTCCATTGCCACACGCGTGCTGCAGGACTGCTATGTGCTTAGCTCTGGTAAAGGCACAGAGGAGGACAGCAGGCACCTATTGGTACGGGCGCCCTTCTTTCTGGAGACGCCAGATCCCAGAGATGGTCCTTGGCACAGACAGTCCCCATGCTTAAACCTTTTTGGTCAAGCATATGATGCCCTCCAAATCCCCTGACACCTGCTCCTTGATCCCACCTCACTCCACTGAGGGTCATAGTACATCTCAGCAGATTAAAGGCTCTGACAAGACCTGCAGGGAAGAAACCTGTCTGACTTTGTCTAACAAGAGTTTGTCTGCAAAATCTGACCTGGGGAGGTTTTAATTCCCCTCTTCTGAATTCCTGCCTAACACCCCCCTGAGCTGGCCGGAGAGGAGCACTGCAGCTGTGTGGAACCGGGGATGTGCTCGGCACTGCTGGCCTGAAGAAGGGATATTTTTAGATATCAGCTACAGAAAGAGAAGATTGCCATCAACTTTGGGTGATCACATTGACCTTGGCTTAGTAAAGATGCACGGAAGACCGGCTGATTCCAAGAAGCATATTGTAACGGTGAGAATAGGTAGCCACTGGATGTC